TGAGAAAGTTATACTTGGTCAAAGTTGAGTTGACTTTTCCTGCAAAACCCTAATTTAGCAACTTTTGAATCTTGATGAATCTTGAGCAATACTTTATGAATCATGATCAACCCTTGATAAAATGATGAATTATCCTTCAAAATGAGAATGTTGACAAAAAATCTTGAGGTTTGATTATTTGTAGGCCACAGTTGACTTTTGCCCTAACATTGTCGATTTTTGGGCCTCTTGAGCAATTGACTGACCAAACTTCCTCTGCAAGGCTTGAAATTTGACATGGATGATCTTGAGAGAATATTAGGACATTGGGGAGAACTTGAGGTCATTTGGATGTAAGTACCTTGATGCAACACAAAACCCTAATTTGAGATTGACTGCCTTAGGAGATGATTTGACTGTCCAACTCTTGAGCAATCTTGAGCCACTTGGAGATTTATCTTGAAATGTTTTGAGAAATATGGGAGGGAAAATTTTGGGGTACAACATTTCCCTTTCGGGTTTTCAACTTGTCGGGTCCTTTATGCGTAGTATCTTTTGACTATGTCTGCGTTCACAGGGTGTGGCAGGTCGTCGCCGTCCATGGTGGTTAGAATCATAGCTCCACCAGAAAAGATGTTTTTGATCACAAATGGTCCTTCGTAGGTAGGAGTCCATTTTCCCCTGGGATCACTTTGTGGCAAGATGATCTGCTTGATTACCAGGTCTCCGACTTGATACATCTGACGTATGACTTTCTTGTTGAATGCCTTGATCATCCGTTTTTGATACGCTTGACCATGACAAACAGCGGTGATTCTCTTCTCGTCGATTAAGTTCAAATGATCAAGTCGAGTTTGGATCCAATTGTCTTCACTCAATCCGGAATCCTTCATGATTCTCAAGGAGGGAATCTGAACCTCAATAGGCAGGACAACTTTCATGCCGTAGACCAAAGAAAAAGGTGTTGCCCTAGTCGATGTTCGAGCCATAGTACGGTACTCATGTAGAGCAAACGGTAACATTTCATGCCAGTCCTTATAGGTGACTGTCATCTTTTGTATGATCTTCTTGATATTCTTGTTTGCAGCTTCAACAACACCATTCATCTTTGGCCGATAGGGAGATGAATTGTGATGTTGAATCTTGAACTGTTCGCACAAAGCGGTGATCATAGTATTATTCAGATTTGTATCATTGTCTGTGATGATCCTGTTGGGGATACCATACCGGCATATGAGATTCTGCTTGATGAAGCGGGCAACCACATTCTTTGTAACGGAGGTGAAAGAAGCTGCTTCGACCCATTTGGTAAAGTAATCAATAGCCACCAAGATGAAGCGGTGCCCGTTGGATTCCGTAGGCTTGATCTCTCCAATCATGTCGATTCCCCACATTACGAATGACCAAGGAGCTGTTAGAACATTGAGAGGAACTGGAGGAATATGCACCTCGTCAGTATAGACTTGGCATTTGTGACAGGTACGAGCGTGTTGATGACAGTCAGCTTCCATGGTAGACCAGTAGTAGCCTGCCCTTAGGATTTTCTTGGCCATCGTATGCCCGCTCAAGTGGGTGCCAAATTTTCCACTATGTATTTCAGTCATGATTAGCTCAGCTTCAACCTTGTCTACACAACGAAGCAGAATGCAATCATGATTGCGCTTGTATAAAATACCATTGCTCAAGAAGAACTTGGCAGAAAATCTCCTTAAGAACTTTTTTTCGTTGACTGAAGCTCCTTCAGGGTATTCTAGAGTCTCGAGATACCTTTTGATTTCATGAAACCAAGGTTGTTCCACTACTTCTTCGGTATTAATCTCATGACAATGTGCAGGTTCATCCATTTGCTCGATGGTGATTTGGGGAGCCTCATTATCCCAGTTGAGTTTAAACATGGAAGACATTATGGCTAGAGCATCCGCTAGCTGATTTTCTTCTCGCGGAAAGTGCTCGAAGGTAATCTGCTCGAAATGAGGCAACAATGTCAGAACATGTTCTTTGTATGGGATAAGATTAGGATGTTTAGTGTCCCACTCTCCTTTGATTTGATTGATAACCAAAGCTGAGTCCCCAAATACAACCAAAGATTTGATTCCTAAGTCAATCGCAGCCTTGAGACCAAAGATACAGGCTTCATACTCAGCCATGTTGTTGGTGCAGCTGAAGTAGAGTCTAGCAGTGAAAGGTGTATGGAAACCTTCTGGAGAAATAAGCATCGCGCCAATACCGTTTCCAAGTGCATTTGAAGCACCATCAAAGTACAGGGTCCATCGGGATCCATTTTCAGGTCCGTCATACGGGTCGTTACCTTCAATGTTGTCCAATGTCATAATATCCTCGTCAGGGAAGTCAAATCTAATAGATTGATAATCTTCGACAGCTTGATGAGCTAGATGGTCAGCTAGTACACTTCCCTTTATAGCCTTTTGGGTTGTATACTGGATATCATACTCAGTTAGGATCATTTGCCATCTAGCAATTCTTCCAGATAAAGCAGGCTTTTCGAAGATTTACTTAATCGGATCCATCTTAGAAATTAACAAAGTGGTATGTGTCAACATATACTGCCTTAGTCGGCGAGCAGCCCATACCAAAGCGCGGTAAGTTTTCTCGAGCAGTGAGTAGCGAGTCTCACAGTCGGTAAACTTTTTGCTAAGGTAATAAATGGCATGCTCTTTTCGACCAGACTCGTCATGTTGGCCCAGTACGCACCCCATTGAGTTATCCAAAACAGTCAGATACATGATTAGTGGCCTTCCTTCGAAGGGTGGCATCAAGATAGTGTAGCGATAAAAAAATGTAGCGGGGTAAATCGGAGATTGAACTATTAATTAATTCGTCTCAGAAAAGCAAGAGTCGCCACCGCGCTTTATTATTTCCAAGGGAAAAGGGAAAAGAGCGAAATAAAACCCTAAAATATGCAATGTAAAATAATACTTTAAAAGTAATGAAAATACAAGGCGTTTTGAAAAGAGGTCTAGAGTTCGGGGGTTAGTTATACAATGGGAAGGTATTAGCACCCAATGTATCTATAGTATTCTATAGGAACCTTTTGAAATATCTGTTTATTAAAATTGTTTGTTTGATTAAAATGGTTCGTTTGGTAAAAATGATTTGTTTGGAAAATATTTTGAAGATACGACGACCTAGTGTCGAAGTTTTGACTTAAAAGGTGTGAGTTTTTTGAAGAAATTGGATATTTGGGAAAATTATCCTATGTTTTTAATGAATGAGGGTATTCGCACGATGTTTTTTTGATGACATAAAGTCGACAAAAAATTAGACAATTCCCTTGGATTAAATCGAGCAAGTAAAATAAGATGAATCCACAAAGTATAAGCATTCAAAAATTCACAAGAAAAACAAATCTAATGAAACAGATTAATGACCAAAAGCATCGAGAAATTAAAATGACAAAGATATTTAAATAGAAGAAAAGGGAACTAATTATCTAAGTCAAAATTATAAGATTACTTACTAAAATAATTCTAAACTAATTTGTTATCTAAAGTTATAAAAATAATTCTAAAATTGCTACGCTAGATCTAAACTAAATTAAAATTTTAATATTAGAAAATTAGATCTAAACTAAATAAAAATTCCAAGGTTGCTAATCTAAAACAAAAAAAGTTCCAAAATTACTAAACTAAATCTAAATCAAATAAAATTCTAAAAGAATATTAAACTAATTCTAAACAACTAAAATTCTAAACTTATTAAACTAATTCTGAATCAAATAAAAAATTATAAACTCATTAAACTAATTCTAAATCAAATAAAGTTCTGAAGTCCCTAAACTAAAACTAACAACTAAAATTCTAAAGTTAACTTAAATAAAATCAAATAAAATTCTAAAGTTTACTAAATTAAAACTAAAACAAATAAAATTCTAAAATTTACTAAGTCAAATCTAAATGAAATAAAATCCTAAAGTTACTAAAATAAAACTAAAACAAAATAAAATTCTAAAGTTTACTAAGTCAAATCTAAATTAAATAAAATCCTAAAGTTACTAAAATAAAACTAAAACAAAATAAAATTCTAAAGTTTACTAAGTCAAATCTAAATAAAATAAAATCCTAAAGTTACTAAAATAAAACTAAAACAAAATAAAATTTTAAAGTTTACTAAGTCAAATCTAAATGAAATAAAATCCTAAAGTTACTAAAATAAAACTAAAACAAAATAAAATTCTAAAGTTTACTAAGTCAAATCTAAATGAAATAAAATCCTAAAGTTACTAAAATAAAACTAAAACAAAATAAAATTCTAAAGTTATTAAATTAAGTCTTAAAACTAACCTAAATAATTAAGATTATCTAGGTAACTAAAACATAGTTTTTTTTTTTAAGTCTATAAAATAACTAGATTAACGAAGTTAATTATTATTTAAAAATAGACAAACTAAAAGGGTGCAACTAATAATTATTGGGGAGGGGTAATAAAAACCGGTTGAGTTGGGGTGAAGTCTAATGTAACATAATAATAATAATCAGAAAATAAATCAAACAAAACAAAGAAAAGATTGGGCCGGGTAGAAGCAAGGTGAGGCCCGAATTAATGAATTAAACAAAAACCCTAGGAGACTAACAAAAAACCAGCCGCTGATAATTCTTGCCTCACGCTAGAAAAATCCTATTTCTCTTCACTGCTTAAGTTCCTTTTCCATCAATTCTTCTACTCATTGGTTGACAACAACACTATTCCTCTGTTCATTTCCTCCTCCATTCAAACAACAACAACACCTCTTCTATCGAAACCTTGCACTCGCGGACAACTTATCGATCTAACAACGATGAGACGACTCGACTCGACAATGATAAAAAAAAAAATTCACGCAATCTCACGGTTTGTTCTCATGGCCTCAGATTCTTTGTTTTGATTTTGAGAGCACACTTCAATGAATCATGAAAATTAGTGATGTGTTTGGCCGGGTCTTTTCCAGTTTTGGATTTGAAATCTGAAAGGGATTTACGAATAAGCAACATATCCTCGGGAGTGAAGCAGACTCTCAAGGGCCTTTAAGAGGATTTGGCGGCGGCATCGGCGGCGGCGACGACGGGTGTGGGCTTCTTGGAATGGTTAGAGCGGGGAGAGTTTGAAGTGGAAAGCGCTTGAATTTGATGTGGCGAGATTGAGAAGAGAGTGATGAGGGTTTTGAAGGAATGGGTAGTAATTATGTCGGATCTGGAAGGGTTTTGTGCATGGAGTTTTGAGATGAAGCTTGAGAAGAAGAAAGAGTTTTCTTGGTCATGGAGAAAGAGAGTGTTGATATGAAGGGCTCTGTTCTGAGTAGTATCACTTTGTGAAGGTTCGCTCTATCTGTCAATAAAAACTTTTTTTTTTATTCCAGTTTTCCTTTGGTTTTACTCTCTGCTAAAAAACTCTCTGCTAAAAACTCTCTGCTAAAAATTCTCTGTGGTTTCGGTTGTTTCAGAAATAACAAAAGAGACATATGGGATTATCGAATCATATAATAAACAATGGCAAATTCTCAGAATAGCAACAAACAAGCATACATACTCGGAAATATAACATCAAACTACAACAACATAGCTATAACGAAAATCGGGAGCAGGAGATCGAGTTACCTATGACGAGGAGATTTTCGTCGAATATTGTTGAGGTATATGTTGATTTTATAAGCTTCTGTTTCTTGTGCCTTGATATCTTTATGGAGAGTTAGCAGTATCACGTTGCTATCTTTTATGTTGTATTATGCAGGTGTTGTTTTATGCAGGTGTTGTTGATGAATGAACATTGTTGGAGGAAATTATGATTATCTTTATATCTATTCTTTGTGTTTTTTATATTGAATGTATGATAGAATCAGAGGGAAAAAATGGTGAGTCTTTGAACAGATTTAATACTCTGATTTGTGACTTTTTGTTACAAGTTTTCTATTTTTCTAATTTAGTGAAATTTCTGGACTGATACATAGCAGGGCAGCAACACTGTTTTTTGTGGGCAGCAGGCTTTGGAGTGTAACAAACAATAAGGACTGGTTTTCCATGTTCAAAAATATGGTTTTGGGACCACAATTTTATTGGACATAAAAATAAATAAACAAAGACAATAGTAATAATAATGATAAAAGGTAATTTGTTAGTAATACAAAAATAGAATAATAATAAGAATAATAATAATAATAATAATAAAAATAAGATACAAATAAAATTAATTTAATTTTAATTTTGATATTAGATTAAAAGAAACTAAAACTATAATGACTAAAAATAATCAAAAAATGTAAAATAAAGGAAAAAGATATTAACTACATTTTTGCGACTTTCTTTGGATTAAAGTTTATACTAAAACATGAATCTAAATGGAACCAATAAAACTATATTAATTTTTTATATATTTTTTTAATTAAGAATTGCGAATTTAAAATACTATAATGCTAATTATAAATATTTTTTGTGGTTTTTCTAATAATGCGATAGTAAAAAGTGACATGAACTAAAATACACATTTTTTAGATTTTTTTTCAAATAAGACAAAAATGATAAATAAAAGACGGGAAAAAATATGCGCTATGTACGATTTGGTAAAGGTTGGACAAGACATGATCAAATTTCATTAAATTCATAAAGCGACTTCTAACATTTTCACTCTTTCGTGGCATTTCAAAAATAATCAGCTCTTGACTTCTAAAGAAAAGTTGCAGTTGTTGTCAAGGAGAATCATATGTAAAAGAACCACTAAAAAATGTCGAAATTTGAAGAAGTTATGAATTTTGAAATCTGACTCGAGAAATGGCAAAAATAGGTCAAATTGCTTGTGAACACTTGCTATGCAATGACACAGATGGGAGGTGGGATCTTAGGTCAAAAATTGGGGTATGACAGATAGGAGGCTCTAGAAAATACTCCTTGATTTTATTGAAAGCAACTTGACAGTCGTCATTCCATTCAACCACCTGATCTTTCTTTAACAGTTTGAAGATTGGTTCACAGGTAGACGTCGGGTGAGAAATGAATCTTGCAATATAGTTTAAGCGTCCCAAGAAACCTCTAACCTCCTTTTCAGTGCGGGGGGCGGGCATTTCTTGTATAGCTTTGACCTTGGCAGGATCAACTTCAATGCCTTTGTTGCTAACGATGAATCCCAAAAGTTTACCAGACCTGACTCCAAAAGTGCACTTGCTAGGATTCAATCTGAGCTTATACTCCTTCAATCTGACAAACAGCTTTTGCAGATGGTTGAGGTGTTCTTCTTCTGTCTGCGAACGGGCTATCATGTCATCCACATAGACTTCGATCTCATGATGTATCATGTCATGAAACAAAGCTACCATGGCTCGCTGATAGGTTGCCCCGGTGTTCTTCAGTCCGAATGGCATTACTTTATAGCAGAAGGTACCCTACTGTGTAATAAAAGTAGTCTTCTCCATGTCTTCGGGGGCCATTTTGATCTAGTTGTATCCCGAAAATTCGTCCATGAAAGAGAATACCTTGTGCTAAGTTGTATTGTCAACCAAGAAGTCAATGTGTGGTAGCGGAAAGTCATCTTTAGGGTTGGCCCTATTTAAATCTCTGTAGTCCATACACATTATGACTTTGCCGTCCTTCTTAGGTACGGGCACAATGTTAGCAACCCATTATGGATAATAAGTAACAGCAAGAAAGCCATCATTGAACTGCTTCATTACCTCCGCCTTGATCTTCTCGGACATGTCGGGCCTCATTCGGCGGACTTTCTGTTTGATTGGTGGACAGTCTTCTCTTGTAGGGAGACGGTGAACCACAATATCTGTATCCAGTCCCGGCATATCTTCATAGGACCAGGCAAAGATCTCGACATACTCATTCAACAGCTGAACTAAGCGCTCTTTGACACTTGGCTTTAGGTTGGCACCCACTTTAACCTCTTTTCTGTCTTCCTCTGTTCCCAGATTGATAGTCTCTAACAACTCTTCATGGGGCAGAATAGCCCTTTCTTCTTGTTGCAAAAGTCTAGCTAACTCTCCAGTAACTTCACAGTCTTCATCACCTTTGTATTCGGCAAGATTGACCAAATCTTCAGAGTCGCTGAAGGCCAAAGCAGAATAGTCACCCATGGAATCCGGAGTGGATGGGTACCTGCATTTTGTGAGTGTGGGTGTGTGTAAGGGATAGCCACCTTTAAACAAGATAAAAATGTAAAAGGAAAGAAAATGAACACAAAAAAGTTTATAGATGATAACGTCCATGATTCATTAAAAAAATAGCATATGAAAATGACAAATCAAGCCCTTACAAATGGACCTATATGCCCCGGGTAAGGCACAAGGCAAAAAAAAGAGTGTACGAATTTGTTCAGAAATTATTACAGACCAACGGAAATTGTTTAAAAGATAAATTACTGATTGACGAAAGTAATGGGAACAAAGACTTTCGCCTCCCAAGTGTTCAACCCTCCTTCCACGGTTGGAAAAATCCAATCTTCAAAGTTGCTCTCGTCCTCGACATCCTCCAAAGAATGAACTCCATGATGGGTGATCTTTAGTGGTGGTCCTCTAGCCCGGGAGCGACGCACAGCCTTCTGACTAGCAGCAGTGAAACCTAACCCGACCTTATCTGTTTTGAAGGGAAAATCTGGCAGTTGGCCCCACATTGTACTTCCTCCCTCCTCGATCACAGCCTTTGCATCCTTAAGAGATGACATTCGGGACACAGGCTTGATAATGGAGGGCATCTCAGTCATTGTCTTGGCTACCGCAACCTCAGGGGAAAACTCTTCAAAATGTTGGAAAGGTGTTTCTATGAATTCACCTTCCAATTCCACGTAGCGGAAAGAGTTGAGATGGCTTATCAAATATTTTTCCTCGCCATGCACTGTTATGATTTTACCCTGTACTGGATACTTTAACATTTGGTGTAGAGAAGAAGTGACTGCCCCAGCATTGTGGATCCAAGGCCTTCCCAACAAGCATGAATATGAAGGACGGATGTCCATCACATAAAACGTAGAGTTGAAAATTTATGTTCCCACCTTAATTGGGATGTCCACCTCCCCGTGGACCATCCTCTTAGAACCATCGAAGGCTCTAACAACGATATTATTGGGATTTAAAGTTAGACCTTCACAGTCTAGCCTATCCAATGCTTTCTTTGGTAGGACATTTAAAGACGAGCCGATATCGACCAGAACATGGGCAAGTGTGGTCCCTCTACACTATACCGACACATGCAGTGCATCATTGTGCTTCCTTCCCTTAGAGGTTAGATCAACATCAGAGAAACCGAGACCATTATCGGCTGTAAGGCTAGCCACACACTCTTGAAACTGGTCAGCAGAAGTTTCTTGAGGCACGTGTGCCGTCTTCAGGAATTTGATCAAGGCTTTGGCATGGGCCTCGGAACAGAGCAATAGAGCCAACATGGAGATTTTTGAAGGGGTTTTCCCCAGCTGTTCTACGACATCATAGTCGCTCTTCTTGATTATCTTTAAAATTTCCTCCATTTCCTTTTGGGTGGTCTCTGGGATAATTGAAGTCTGAGCCCTCGTCCCGATGGGCGCTTCTTGGATTCCCTTACCTTTGTCAGCAGTAACAGCGAAGGATACAACTTCAGGAGCAATAATTTCTTCAATCACCGGACTTCGCACAAATATCTTGACTGGTATAGGAGTAACTTCAGGAGCACTTGAGGGTCCGAAGATTGCTCTTGGAGGAGCAATCTCTGGAGAGAAGATTCTTCCGCTGCGAGTGATCTTACTTGTCCCTGCAATATTTCCTACATCAGGAGTTTCTTCATCGAATTTCTCTTCCACTGATTCTATCTGCTTAACACCGTGGTAGAAGATTTCTCCTCCGTAATTCCACGGTATTGTCTTATTGGACTTATAAGGGACGGGCCCTGGCATGGTAATCTTCAAGGGTACGAACTTCAGATTGGGTGTAATCTTAACAGGTCTTTTGGAGACCTTGGAAAGACTGTCGGAAATGGTGATTATAGTGATATCATTGATTGGAGTAACAGGAGTAACATGAGTAACAGTATCAATAGGAGCTTTCTAAAAAAGGATCTCTTGAGTATCCATCAGGCATTGGATGCCTGATTTCAACAGCGGACAGTCGGATGGCAAGTTTGAACAAAAGTAACAATCTTTCTCACAGCCCGGGAAGATCTCGGCTTTCAATAGATTTGTTTTGATCATTGGCAACGTAGTCATTAACTCATCAACAGCAGCAACATGAAGATCTTCTACAATAGCATGGACATTATGACCATGTTTTGGCATAGGAGCGAATATCACATTGGGTTTTTCGGGAGCATCAAACTCTACCTCCTTGGCATCTATCAAATATTGGATCTTGTTTTTAAG